ATTGTTTTAATTGTGTGTGTGTGTGTGTGTGTGTGTGTGTGTGTGTGTGTGTGTAGTATATACATATAAGTGCATGTGAATGCAGTGCACACAGAGGCCAGAAGAGGGCATCTGATTCCACAGAGCTGCAGTTAAAGCAGTTATGAGTTGCCTGATGTCTCTAGGAACTAAACTTGGGTCTTCTGGAAGAGCAAGAGTGATTAAGAACACTAACCACTGGGCCATCTCTTCAGCCCCAGGATTAGAGATTTAAGAGCAGAGGTGATTTAAAGTGGGAGAGAAGATGTGACTAAAACATCTTCACTTTATAAAGGTATCAGGGTAAAAGATGGGGTGTTTCTGATTGCAGACCCAGGTGGTGCCTTCAGGGAATCTCCTAAGGATGATTCCTGGCTAAGGAAAGCACCTTGTCAGTGTTTTGTCTGCATTTAAATTCTCTGCTGGAACCCAGTGTGGTGGCTCACACTCATAATCCCAACTCTCAGGAGGCTTGTCAAGAGTTCCAGGTCAGCCTGGGCTACATAGTGAGTTCCAGGGGAACGTGGGCTACAGCATGAAGTCCTGTTCTCAGAAAGCCTAAATAAAAACAAACAAACAAATAAATAAATAAATAAAATCTGCTGGAAACTCAGACCTCCATATGCAATGGGAAGAAAGCCAAGAGTCTGTTTCCTGTTTCTTTCTGGGAATAGTAGCCCCGAGGTCAGGGTGTTGGCAGGAGATGATAATGAATATTTATCAAACCCTTACTGACTCCCAGGTTCTGACCTCAGCCTCTCAGTCTGTTTCCCTTGACTGACTCAGACCTTTGAGAGAATTACTATGGCTGTTCTCAGATATTTTGGTGCGGAAAGAAACACACAGGAAAAGTAGCTATAAAGCTGAGTCTTGCATGCAGAGCCCTGTGATGCTGAGCCTGACTCTGAGCTGCTGAGCATTGCAGCCAGCACAGTCCCCAGGTACCAGGTGACGGTATCTTTGGTATCTTCCCCATTCCTCTCCTCCTTATGCCAACCCTTCCCACCAGCCTCACCAGTGTGTTGATTTCTATCTCTGGCACCTTCAGTCTTGTGTGGGGAGAGGCCTTAGGATGCTGACCAAGTCTGAGGCTCTCCCAGGGGCACAAGCTGGCAAGGGTCTGAGACCACCAAGTTTGGCCAAGTACTGAGGGTAGAAGATCTCTTTCTTTGTTTTGTTTGCTTTTTAAACTTTGTAGGATTGTGTGTATGTGTATATGATTGGGGGGCGCAGTGCCACAGAGCCCACGTGGAGATCAGAGAACCAACTTTGGAGTTGGTTCTCTCCTTCTACATGGATATGGGTTTTGGAACTCAAACTCAAGTTGTCAGGCTTGTACAGCAAGCACTTTGCACCTTTACTCCCTGAGCCATCTCACTAACCCCTATTTGTTTGTTCTTTGAGACAGAGCCTCACTGTGTAGCCCAGGCTGGCCTAGAACTCACTGTGTAGCCTTGACTGTCCTCAAATTTGCGATCTTCCTGTCTCCACCTTTGGAATGTTGGGATGGCAGGTATGCGCCAGCACACCCAACTAGGGTCATGGTTTTCTTGAACCTTCAGCATTGCTGCATACCAGTCACCACTGTCTAATCCCCCTCAGCATTTAGCAGAGGAGCTTTTGAGAAGGAGCAGAGCATGAAAGATGACAGGCAGGCAGCTTGAATATTGTCCTCTCTCACCAGTTGTGCTGCCTGTGCAAGTTTAACTTGAGTGATCTAGAGAATGGCAAATACAGTGCAATATGTTTTGGTCCTCAGTGCTAAGAGCTGGTGAGTTTACAGGAAGAAAGGAGATGAACCATTGAGTCAGAGTCTATGATCTGTCTCTGTGGGGAGGAGTTAGAATGGATGGTGGCAGATTTTAACAGCAATGAAAACCAGGAGGGACCTGAGGACCTGACGGGAGCCATGCAGAGGGCTGAGGGGAGCAGGCTGAGCCCCAGGGCCTCATGGGTGGCCCTGCCAATGATCCAGCATGTGATCCCAAAGTTTTCTAAGAAATATTTGCAGACCAAGTGCAAGCACTTGCCTAGCACACGTGAGGCTCTGCATTCCATCCCCAGCACTGCCAAAAAGAGAACAAGTATGATATTGGTATAATCTCTGTGTGTGGTGCACAAGCACACACACACACACACACACAACTTTTTAAAAAAATTATTTTTTATTTTATGTATATGTGTGTATTACTTGCATGTAGGTGAGTGTACCCATGTCGCAGAGGTCAGACAAGGTGGTCGGATCCCCAGAACTGGAGTTACAGACAGTTGTTAGCTGCCATGTGGGTGCTGGGATACGAACCTGGGTTTTCTGCAAGAACAATTAGTGTTCTTAACCGCTGAGCCATCTCTCCAGCCCCAACTTTTTTTTTTTTTTTAACAAGGTCTCACTGTGTTTCCCAAGCTGCGCTTGACCTGGAGATCCTCCTTCCTTGGCTTCTCAAGTGCTAGATATGTGCTCCACCACACACAGAGCCTTTCTGTAATAGTTTACTTTTTAATTCAAATGATAACCTTTGCCCATGGTAAAAATTTAAATAGTTTAAAAATTATTTATTTATTTGTGTGTGTAAGTCAGAGGACAACTTGCAGGAGTTGGTCCTCTCCTTCCACCATATGGATCCCAAGATCAAACTCAGGTCATCAGTAGCAGGCACCTCATCTTTATCCTGATGATCCATCTTGCCAGCCCCCAAATTCAAACAGTACTAAAGACTGTCTAACAGAAAGTTCATCTGTCCACACCACACCCCATGCCCACTATCCAGAGGTGAGCACCCATCTTTCTAGAAACATTTAATGCATGTCAAGAAATATAAACGTGTTTTGCACACACACACACACACACACACACACACGAATAGTGATTTCTTCCAGTTTGCTTTGTCAACTCAACGTATAGTAGCTAGTATGTACTAAGGTCTCTCTATACCTCAGATGTCATATGTGTTTATTCATTTACTCCTCACAGCCCTAAGAAGTAGATTTTATTTATTTCATCCATTTTATAGATAAGGAAACCGGAGCTCAGAAAAGGTAAGTGCTTTGCTTAAAGTCCAGTTGCTAGTAAGAGATACAGCCAAGGGTTTTTTGTTTGTTTTTGTCTTTTTGAAACTGTGTCACTGTATACCCCTGGTTGGTCTGGAACTCACAGAGATCCACCTGCCCCTACCTTCTGAGTGCTAAGATTACACACCACCACTCCCAGCAAAGCTAAGGTTTTTTTTTTTTTGTATTTTTAAGACAGGGTCTCCCTGTAGCCCCAGCTGTCCTGGAGCTCACTATGTAGACCAGGCTAAGGTTTTTTAAAAGATATAATTCATTGTTGGGCTTGGTGGTGCACACCTTTAATCCCAACACTTGGAAGGCAGAGGCAGGCAGATCTCTGTGAGTTCAAGGCCAGCCTGGTCTACATAGTGAGTTCCAGGACAGCTGGGGCTACAAGGAGACCCTGTCTCAAAAAGACAAAAATAAATAAATAAGTAAACAAACAAACAAATAAATAAAAGATTTCGTTTTCATCATGTGCATGTGTCTGCATACATGTGCACAGGTGAGTACAGTGCCCACAGAGGCCAGAAGAGGGCATTGGATCTCCTGGACCTGGAGTTAGAGGTGGTTATGAGTCACCTAACATGGGTGCTAGAACTGAATTCAGATTCTCTACAAGAGCAGCAAGTGCTCTTAACTGCTGAACCATCTCTCCAGCCTCTGTGCCTAACTTTTTAAGCAGTTGCTGAACTGTTTCCCATGGCATATCTCTCATTTTCCCCATGCCTGGGCATCTCAACTCTCCACATTCTTGTCAGTATTTATTTTTCCCTTTGTCTTATCATACTATCCTAGTGGGTGTGGCAGAGCCCCCTCTTTGCCATTTGACTTGCATTTCTTTTATTGGCTAATGAGCACTGCTTCATGTACTCACTGGCCATTTGTATGTCTTCTTGGAGAAATGTCTGTGCAAGTCCTTAGCCTTGAGTTGTTTACCTTTTGATTGTTGGGTGCTAAGAGTAGAGGCAAGATTTGAAGCTGAGCTCCGAGTCCAGATGCCCCGCTTTATCTCAGATGCAGAGGAAGGACTGTGGGAGCACATGAGGACTGTCACCTGTTTTTACAATGGCCCCCTGTCTCTTAACCTATTGAATCATTTACATGTCTTATTAATGGACATGTGGGAACTTTCAGTCTTCACTGTTCTGAACACTGCTGCCTTAAATATCATTTTTATGTTCATGTACATGTGTGTGCTATATATACAAGTACATATGGAGGAAAATCTTAAAGAAGTTGAATTGCTAGATCAAAATAGATACATGTTAAATTGTTCTCTAATGAAACAGTACAATTGGAATCCACACCAGTGTGAGAGTGCCCATGTACTGCGCCTATTTTGTCCACTGTCAAATTATTTCTTGCTGTCCTGGTGGGGGCAGAATGGTCATTTTCACAGTAGACCATGCCTGAAACTGTTTTCTTTATTTCGGCCATTCTGTTAGGATGTATTTTAAAGCTGGACTTATTGGATCAGGGGGCACAAGTGCTTTTTCATTCCTTAGGAGGTGTTAAGCGTGGTGTCTTAGCTATTTTTCTTGTTGCTGTGACAAAATACCCTGACTAAAGCAGCTTAAGGGAGATTGGGTTTATTTTGGCTCACAGTTGAAGGCTCAGTCCATCCTGATGGGGAAATGAAGGCAGCAGAAGCTTGGGGCAGCTGATCACATCGCATCCGTAGTCAGGAAGCAGAGAGCGACAAGTGTTAAGGGTTAGCTCGCTTTCTCCATTTTGTACTGTCCAGGACCCCACCTACAGGATCTTCCCTCATCAGTTGACCTGATTAAGATCTCTCCCACAGGCAAACCCAGAAGTTCATAGTCCTTCACAGATGGATGTGCTTGGAGACCTGTCCCGTAAGTAATTCTAAATCCTGTCAAGTTGACAATACTAACCATCACACGTGGCAATCTCCTTTCTCTTCGCCTCAGTCTCACCCTGCCTGCAAAATCCCAGAGATGACTTTCAGCCACTTCAACCTTTATGGGAAGAGCCCACTGATCATGTGCTTCTTTCTCAACTACTCTAATCTGCTGCAGCAGGGCCAGGACGTGCTGATCACCAGGAGAGAAAAGACAAAGGTCATCTCATATCCTTGTCACCAGGTCCCTGCAACCTCTTCACAGCAGAAGGGGTTGGGGAGAAGCATCCAGGCCTTAATACACAGCCTGGCACACAGTGGGTGCTCAGTAGGAGTAGCCATTAGTATGAGCCTCTGGGAAAGTACTCATGTGAGCCTTGAAGTCCCTAGGGCCTTGCATCCTGGTCCTCCTGCTTCTGTCTCCCAAATGCTAGGATTACAGATGTGTATTACTGTGCCTGGCTCAATTTTTTTCAGCATATAAACTAGAAATAGAGTATGAAGTTGGGTGTGGTGGTTTGCGCCTATAACACCAGCACCCGGGGATGAGGCAGGAGGCTCACTCTGAGCTTGAGGCCAGCCCAGACTACATAGCAAGATCCTATTTCAAAAAACCAAATCCAAACAAAGCAGGAACTGGAGAATGTGCCCTTGGGTCTGCAAAGAGAGGGGTGTTGGAGCCCCTCCTCCTTGACATTGTGATGACATAGTTTTTCAGACTGCCTAAGGAAGCATTTTCTGGTACCCTACCATGGACAGGAGCAGAAGGGCTTTCTGACAAAGTGGACTCTTCCTGTATAAGGAAACAGGAAGTGGGAAGGAGATGAAGGAAACTAACCTCTACAGAGCAAGCAAATTTATTAGAGAATAAACCTGAGCAGGCACTCCCCTCCATGGCCTGGCGGCCAGAAGAGGTGGGCACCCTCTAGTGGCCCGGGATCCTGAGGAAGAGCAGCCTCTCTCATAGACTCAGGGTTTTTCTATCTTTCTCCCTTCAGGGAGGAGGAAAGGGCTGGCAGTTGCGGCTGTGTCATATGGAGAGGGCAGTTGCAGGGTGGGCTATAGTCATGCAAGATGCTGGGTTTTGGAAAGGATGCAACCAAGCTAGGAGCACTCAGGACCTCGTATTTCTCCATCAGCCTGCCTCTCTTCCTTCAGGCAGACCATGGCCAGCAGCAGAGGATCATTGCCTATGTGGATTGTGGTCACCTCCTTCAGAATCCCCAAACTCCATGCTTTCCTTTGCTCTCCCCATGTACTAGTCCCAGGCCACTAAGTATATCAACATAGCAAGCCTTTCCTTGACAAAAGTATCCACTGACTCTACCCCAACCTATGCTGATGTCATCAGCATGACCTTGAAGAACATGGAGAAGCACAGGAAAAAACTTGGGCAGCTGACCTGGCTACACAGAAATGAGTGGAAATATTTTAACAATTACCTAAAAGAGCTGGAAGAGAACTTTGAGAGGTAGGAAGGTGTGGGTGCAGAGCCACAGTGGGACACCAACCACTGCAGCTCGCCAGCAGAAGTTTTATCGGGAATGGGTCAGGTAGCTACCCGCTCACTAATTTCACTGAGCATGGCCAGAATAGAAACAGCTCATTCACACAGCCTGGATCTTTTCTTTAAAAAGTTACTTTTGTCAGGTTGGGTGTGGTGGCACACACCTTTAATCCCAGCACGCAGGAGGCAGAGGCAGGCGGATCTCTGTGAGTTCAAGGCCAGCCTGGTCTACATAATGACTTCCAAGACAGCTGGGGCTGCAGGGAAAGTTACTTTTGTCACTGGGTGTGGTAGCTCACAGTTGTAATCCCAGTTCTCAGAGGGGCTGAGACAGGTGGATCTCTGCCTGGTTGACATAGCAAGTTCCAGGCCAGCTGGGGCTACAGGGAGACCTTGTCTCAAAAAAACCAAACCAAACTAAAAGAAAGAAAGATACCTAATAAGGGTTGGTAAGATAGTTCAGTCAGGAGGACCTGAGTCTGATCCCGAGAACCTACATAAAAACTGGGTGTTGTACCATATTCTAGTAATCCAACTCTAGGGAGGCAGAGAAAGGCAGATCTTTGGTTCACTGGCCAACCAGTCTAGCCTGATTGGTGAGCTCCAGCCAATGAGTGATCCTGTCTCAATGGAGGTAGATGTTAATTCCTGAGGAGGACACTCAAGGTTATCTTCTGATGGTCACATGCCTGTGCACATAAGTGAATATACACACATGAATATGCTTATGCACGTAAAGATATATAACTAAAAAAATTATTTTGCTGGGCATGGTGGTGCACACCTGTAGTCCCAGCACTTGGGAGGCAAAGGCAGGCAGATCTCTGTGAATTCAAGGCCAACCTGGTCTACATAGTTCCAGGACAGCTGGGGCTTACAGGGAGACCCTGCTTCAAAAAGACCAAAAAAAATTTTTTTTATGGATTGCCTGCATGTATGTGAGTGCACTATGTCGTGCAATGCCGCAGAGGTCAGAAGAGGGCTTCAGATTCCCCTGGAACTGGAGTTAAGGATGGTTCATAGCCACCATGTGGGTGCTGGGACTCGAACCCAGGTCCTCTGCAAGAGCAGTCAGTGCTCTTAACTGCTGAGTCATTTCTCCAGCCCCAAGATATATAATTTTTTATGGATGAAGTGATATGGTATATAGAATTTGCTTTAGAAGAACCCATTTGGAATGGGCACAGAGTAGGAAATAAATGACCTGACACTGACCTCATGGCAATATTTCCTGGAGCTAGGTCATAGTGTATGGTGTTAATTCTATCATTTAAATTTTTTTCTCTGTGTGTGTTAATGTGGGTGTGTGTATATGTGTGTGTTCACATGTGCACATATGCACATACATGCATCTTGAGGCCAGAGGTCAACATCCAGTGTCTTTTTACATCTGGTGTCTTTTTTTTTTTTTTTTTGGAGACAGGGTCTCCTTGTAGCCCCAGCTGTCCTGGAACTCACTATGTAGACCAGGCTGGCCTTGAACTCACAGAGATCCGCCTGCCTCTGCCTCCCAAGTGCTGGGACTACAGGTGTGTGCCACCACGCCTGGCAACATCTGGTGTCTTAATCAATCTCTACTCCCCTTTTTTTTTTTTTGAGACAGGGTCTCACTGTGTAGCACTGGCTGGCCCAAAACTCACTATATAGATCAGCCTGGCCTCAAATTCACAGAGATCCACCCACCTCTGCCTCCCAAGTGTGAGGATTAAAGGGATTTTCCACCACATCCAGGTCACTTTTTAAAAGATGATTATGTATGTATGTGTGCATGTATGCTAGTGTGTACGTGCATGTAGACCAGAAGAGGGCACCAGGTCCTCCTCTGTAACTCTCTGCCTATTATTTTCAGGCAGGGTCTCTCCCTGAACATAGGACTGTGTTTTCTCTGTAAGGCTGGAAGTCAGAAAGCCCCAAGCAATCCTCCTGTCTGATGCCCAGCTTGTTATGTGGGTGTTGACTTGGTCCTCATGATTACACAGCAATCACTTTTAACTGATGAAGCATCTCTCCAGCCCCTTCTCGGAGGGGAGATCCTCTCAGATCCTCCTGTCACTGCCTCCCCAGCACTGACACATGCCACTGTGCCTGACATTTTACGTGTGTTCTGGGAATCTGAAATCAGGTCCTAATGCTTGTGCAGCAAGCACTTTACCAAATGAGACACATCTCCAACCCCCTGCATGTCTAAACATTTAATAGCAGAAGAGTGCTGTTCTGCTTTGGTTTTGAAATGGTGGCCATGTCAGAATAAAAGGTAATGAATGGCCATGTGGAGGTGACTCTTAGATGAGCTGGGTCTCCCTGGGACGTTTGTTGCTGCTTGTTTCTCCAGTGAAGCATAGGTCAGGAGCACTGGCATTGATGTTGACTGAAGTTCTGCCTCTCTCTTACTTTCCATGTAAATTAGGCTCATCATTTAGCCTGTGGAAGGTGTGGAAGCCTCTTCACAATACCTGCCTTTTAGAGTAGGTATGTGGTAAGGAGATAACTAGACTAGCCCAGTGCCTAGCTCAGAGGGAGTTTACAGTCAGTGTTAGCTAGTGAAGGAGACCCAATGGCACCCCAGCACACAACAGGCTCCAGCAACCAAGGTGTTTTCACTGGAAAGCTTGCCTCAGGGAGGCAGGGAGCCACCACAACCCTTAGAGAAGCCATCCATTCCATAGTTGGGTGGAAAAGAAGCCTGTCTGCCCTGCACACGGGATGTGCTGAGGAGGCCAGGGCAGTTGCTGCTAGAGAATTTCGTTTCCTTGTGAGTTCAGAGCACAGAGCCTCTAGCATATCTGGATCATTCAGGATTCAAAGTGCTGTTAGAAATACTCCTGGAAATGTTCCTGCGTTTGCTGCTGTTACACAGGGAGACTCCACTAGGCAAGATACAACTTGAAAATTATGGAGCTTCAACATGTCAAAAAATGGTCATGCAGAAAGCATGGAGAACCAGGTCCAGTAGTGTCAGCCTGTAGTCCCAGATGAGACTGAGGCAGGGTGCCGGGGGAAGGTGACTTGAGCCCAGGAGTTCAGTTACAACCTGGACAAGGCAAGACCCATTCTCTGAGGGGTGGGGGTAGGAGAGACTGTGATGTGTGTGTGTGTTTTGCAAAATCAAAGAACTACAGAGCATCCATGTTTTTCTATGATCCTAACAAGGACAGAATTTTTTGCTTTTTTTTTTTTTCTTGGTCTCCCACTGCAAGCAGAAGTAAACCCTAAAGCATTTTCTAAAAAGTTGTGACAGAGATTCTAAATAAGAGTATTTTGTCAACTTATTTTTTTCTTTTGGTTTGGGGGGAAAAAGCCAGAATAGTCTATATTTATTCATTTAGGTGTGTGTTTGTGTGCTGATGTGTACACATGCCTCATGTGTGTATCTCAGTGTGTATGCAGAGGTCAGAGGAAAACTTGCAAGACTTGGTTCTCTCTTTCCACCACGTGGGTTCCATGATGGAACTCAGGTCATTAGGCTGTGTGGCACGTACCTTTGCCCAGTGAGTCAACTCACAGGCTCCCCTTTCTCTCTTTCCTCTTCTCTACCCTTGCTTACCCTCTCCTTTCTTCCTTCCCTCCCTCCCTCTCCCCACCTCTCTGTCAGCTGTTTTTATGTTACCCAGGCTGGCCTTGAACATCTAGGTTCAAGTGATCCTCTGGACTCCAGGTATGTGCCACCATCCCAGCTTATGACTGTTTATGAACTCATGGAAACATATATTGATGCCTGTTTTGTTTGCCTTGAATAGTCATAACCTGATTCTTCCTCAGGACAATGTCTCCTTATGAACTCATGGAAACATATATTGATGCCTGTTTTGTTTGCCTTGGATAGTCATAACCTGATTCTTTGCCGGTCCCAGCCGGCCTTAGATGAACAGCACCTGAAAGGGGGAGTGAGGATTGAAAGAAAAACAAGAGAGACAGAAAAGATACTTGGGAGGACTGTCAGTAGAGACTGCAGCCCCGGTTTATTTTAGCTCAGCCTTCTTATACAGCAGAACATCAGATAACCACAGTTTACTTAGCTCAATTAGCTTCAACAGCTCTTTTTTACCACCTTTATCTGAGGGTTAAGGAATGGTCAAATACTTGTAGTGAATTCCACCAATTAACCATCTTCCCTAAATTATCAGCACATTCCTCCTGACTATTTGAGGGTCAGGGAGCGGTCAGATCAAAGGCTTCTTGGATCCTTTTGTTTACCACTAATGCCTCAAGGTCAGGTATTGTGAGGCTCTCCAGAAAACTTCTTCCTCCTGAATGGGCAGGTTAAGTACTGGTTTGCATGACACAAACTCAGTAAATGAGGCTGCTGCAGGTCAATGATTAGCAGCTCTTGACATATCCCCCTTCCTTATATAATTTTAAAACCCCAGATTATGCCTATCTGGGACAGAAGGACCATGCCTGGCTTAGGTTGTCTTCTGCCAGAGCAAAGCCTTACCCATCATTGGCATGTAGCTTCCATCAGCTACGCCCTGTCTTAGGTTGACTTTCTCTCAGAAGATCTTACCTGTCTTTGACTATCGGCCTCTGTTAGGGGAGGGAGCACAATCTCATATCATGCACAGCTGCCTTGACTTGCCACAGGATTTCACAAATAACTTTACTGCCACCAGTTGAAAACAAAGACATAGGAGGAAAAGCATGCCAAGTCCTGCTAAACCACTCACAATGGACATGATAGAAGACCACGATGGTAAGGTGGCTCTCAGCTTTTTTAGAATATCTGCTGCTGCTTACAGGGTGGAAATGCTTATGGAGAAAATTTTCCCTCTATAATCTCTTGGCAGTAGCACTTTGGCATTGGTACAGCATCCACCTCGTCCCACAAGCACATGGTCATCTACTTGTACACACTCAGACATTATCATTTTTAACAAAACAAATAGGCAACCAGCTTTCTGATCCTGAATGATTAAAATCCATCACCATTTGCATCATCAGGTGTTTTGAAGCAGGCTGAACAATTA